CTTCGAATACTTGGCCCCCGCGTCGGCTGGGGCTTGGCCTGTTTCCACTGGCGCGGGATCAGGGGCCGGGCGCCACGCGGAAAGGCAGGTGGCGGCTGCCACTCGGCCGCGGGTGCAGGCCTGCGCGCAGGTGTCGCGGCCTGGCAGGCGGCGCCGGCCCGGGACAATGGCTGGGCCCTGGAGCGGACTGACGCGGGCTCCAGGCCGGGTCCCGGGCGGGGCCTAACGCCGCCGGGCCTGCGCTTCCGCGGGGCGCATGGCGGCCGCGGCCCGCTCACCTCCTCGGTGACCCGGGGCTGCAGCTTCCCGCGGACGTGGCTCCAGGGCACGCGGTGCAGGTGGTGCAGCTGCCCGAGCAGCAGCACGGGGCGGCTCTGTGGGTCCGCGTCCCCGGCGCTCGCCTGGAACTGCAGCCCCACGTTCGCCATCTTCCGCCCGCGCCCCCGGCCGCCGGCCGCCCGCGCCTGCCCCGGCTCACGCCGGGCCTCTGCCTCCTGTGCTTCCGAAGCCTCGCAGTTCGCGCCGCTGTCGGCCCTGGGCCCATCCGTCTTCCCAGCAGGGCACGACTTGGTGTCCACAGGACCACCGTGACGTGGGCACGTTGTAAGGCAAACAGGATGATTCCCAGAGGGAAACTGTGAATGCTTCTGATTTAGCAATGCTGTGAATAAAAGAAAGATTTTATACCCTTGACTTAACTTTTTAACCAAGTTGTTTATTCCAGAGAGTGGAATTTTAGGGGTTGGGGGAGGGGAGCGGGAGGACACAGTTCATCTTGTTTGGCATCCAATTCTTATTTTTGATTTTCTTTTCTGCACCTTATAAATTGCAAAATGCGTATTTGCATCTGGATGGTATATATATATATATATATATATATATATATATTTGCTTCTTTCTTGCTTTAACAATTGAGAAATAGGATTCCCATTTCTATAAGTTTTATTTAACTTCTCTTTGGGACTTACGTGTAGTTGTTTTATTTTTTATGTTTCTGAGACAGCTACAGCATTGGGTCATTTTTTTAACTACTGTATTCCCACAAGGAATCCCTAGATATTTATATATCTTGATGTTCAGACAGTTACTTATGTGTTGATACTTTTCTAATTATTTAAATGTACTTATATTAAGAAAAATATCAAGTACTATGCTTTTTTATAGTAGCCAAAGTTAAATGTGTCACATTGAAGAAGGCTGGAAAAAACAAATGGGTAATGTGATCACTTGGTTATCTGGAAATATTGTTTACATTAAACTCCCTTTCATGTTAATTAAACAAGTTGGTAGCTCATGCAGCAATGTTTTTAATGGGATTTTAGGAACTGAGGGTCACTCCAAGGATCAAAAATAGAGAATTTTCTGCTAGGGTCAACAAAGGGTCTCAGATCTGGCTTCTTCCCTTCAGACAGAAGGTCAGCTCTAGTCCCAAAGGGTTCAGGCAGGTGCCAATGATTACGCCTCTGAAAAGGACTGAATTTCTGCCTGGGGTGTACTTACACCATGGCCTGATAATTTCAGACATGCTCTGTAACAGAACACATCCAGTGGGAGCCGTGTGGAGTACTATTTACATAGGAACCAAATGATGAATTTAGGAATCCCTTAACCTCTCACTACTGGGGGCACAAGAAAACATTTCTCTTTGATACAATATTCAGTCATTAATGCAGAACAGAATTTCTAGCTATCCCCCAAAAGTAGGAGTGGGAGGGAGAAAACCAAATAACTTTGAGGGCCAAAGGAGCCCAGCTGAATTTTAAGAGGGTCAATCCAAAATCAGACCTGGATGAGCCAGTTTCTGCCTGACTGGATGGAATCACTTGGGAGAACATCATTCTACCTGTGTAGGAAACCCATCTGGACTGCTTGACAACACCTTTGTTTTTGCTTCGACCAGGCTGAGACCCTACCCTGGGGGTGTGTGCACTTCCATCTGTGTGCACCAGCATGACAGGAAAGATTCATGTCACTGCTGCTCATGGCTACAAGTCAAGTGTATCCGATGTCACTGTAAATTTCATGGCACTATTTTTATTGGAGGACTTGGTCAGAATGCAGTTTTGTACAACTCGGAAATACTAACTGCTGATTTTGACATATGTGTGCTCTAAATGATCTGGTTATTTAATGTACCTCTTGAATTAGTTAAAACAATTTCAGGTCAACTCTAAAGAGTGTTTGAAAGCAGGACTTCAGAACAGTGTTTGATTTTTATTTTAGAAATTTACGCATTTGAATTAGATCTTTGGCTGCAGGCAGCAAAACAGCTGGACTTATTTAAAAACAACTTGTTTTGAGTTTTATATATATATATTGATTATTTGTTTTTTACACAGATGCAGTAGCACTTTGGTAAGAGAGAAGCAGCTTGTGACGTCAGGTTATTCTTATCTAGAGAATTATAACAGACCTTACAGAAACTCAGAATATACTCATTTTCATTTTAGATATAATGCCTCCCAAAATTCAGTTTCATAAATTATTCCACAGTATATTTTTACAGCTAAACTACTATCAAATGTTAGAGAAATTAAAGATATAGTTTTTGGAATGGACTATTAGCCCATTTTCCCCAAATTAACTTATTCTTTTCAGCACATGTTACCATATCTGACCTGAGAAAAATGCTGGGGAAGGATGAAAGAAAAATTTATATTTTTCATCTTAATTCTCATAGCTGAAGATATTTCAACTCAAGACCAGCCTAATATCCTAAGCAGGGAATTAGATAATCTCTCACATCTCAAAGCCTTTATGGAAAGGTCTTGTCACTTTGTTGTAGACTTACCAGTTTGGCAGTTCAGAGTTTCACCAACCCTTACCAACACACATAGTTTTCAGTCATTTCAGGGAAAAAAAAAAAAAAATCTCCAACTGTAGTTATTTTGGAAATAGTTTTCACATATTTTTCTTGCTGAGGAATTGTACTCACAACCTGCAGGTAAATGAAGGTATCTTTGTATTCATTGCTTCCAGGTAACGTAAGATGTCAGCAAGATTCTTAATCATGTAATAACTGGCTGTATCTAGGAGTTTTGGTCCAGGAGAAGAAAGATTGAATAAGCCATTTGTACTGCTTATTCCTACCACTATATATGTTTCAACACAGACATGTATTCCACTTCTTGCTGTCCTCACTATTTGAATATATATATTCTCTCCCTGTCTGCCGCATCTTCACCGTCTCCCTTTTCCTCTCCCTGCTTCCTCCTGCAAACTCCTCCTCCTCCCTCCCTCCCTCGTTCTCCCATTCTCTGTAAGGAGAGAGCACACACCCACCCCATACCAAATGTCCAGAACACAAGGAGGTCCAGTTCTCCTCACTTTGCATCAAGAACAGGGTGAGTCAGCCTTTCCCCTGCTTATGGGTTTCTTCCAGCAGGACAGAAATGTTTCCAGCCGTTTTGGATCTGCTTGCTCTCCAAAAGCAGCAGCAGAAGCCTTCCCGGGTAAATTACAATCAGTGAGTAAACAGCCTTTCTGCTGCCTACAGTTTCTGTGCAGATAAACAGAAATGCTCTGATTGGAAAGGAAATGAATGGTTTCACTCAAATGTCCTGCAATTAAGGATTGCAGATTTCTGTCTTGAAATACCTGTTTCCTTGGGACATTCCGTCCTGGCATTTTTTTATTTTGATGGTTTTGCTTTTGGGGGGGATGACATGTTTTGGGTCTTTTATACATGAAAAGATAGATTGACAGTAATCTCAGAAAACATTTTTTTACATCTGAGGAAAATACGGTTTTGTTTACTCTAGACTATACATTTGCTTGGGGCTTTTTGTTGATTTGTTTATTTGTTGGGAAACTTTTCCCTTCCCTTCAGCCTGGTCACTATTGATAAAGCTGATCCTATGGCTTTTTTATTTTTTCCCTTCCAGAAGGGTTGTATCAACAAAATTAATTGTATTTATGTATGTAAATAGATTTTAAGCTTCATTATAAAATATTGTTAATGCCTGTAATAACTTTTTTCAATTTTTATGTGTTTCAAAGGACTTTTTCTTATGTTGGCTAAATACTGTAGAAAAAAATGCTTCTTTCTACTTTATTTTAGACTTAAAAATGAGATACCCACTTTTGTAAACAGCTAATAGCATGGTTCCAATTTTTTTAAGTTCACTTTTTGTTCTAGGGGAAATTAATGTGCAAAAAACAAAAAAGAACTGTTGGTTATATGTGTTATTCTGGATGTATAAAAATCAGTGGAAAGAATAAACTTCCAAATTGAAATGACAGCGTAACACATCTATTGAAAAATCTATGGAAAGCATATTTCTACTTGAGTGTCCACCCAATGTCTATTTGTGTGGCAGTTATTACCTCTGGTCACAGAGCATCCTGAAAATTAACGCGTGGGCTTCTTTTCCCCGGTACTGACATACTGAACACTTGCTGAAGGGGAACTGTCCAGTTCAGGTCTTCAACCAGATAAGATAGGAGAGAATACCCAGCATGCCCTCACTAGGGTGTTTCTAACTAACATAGCAGAGCGAGCTCTCATTGACACAGTGCACTGTGCACATCAGGGGTGACAGCTGCCCTTCTCCTGGGAGGGTCTGCATGCCCAGCTTATGTAGGGCAGCTGGGCTGCTGCCACCCAGGGGCTATTGGAGCCTTATTTCCTTTGTACCACAGTTTCTTCTGTAAATCCAATATTATAACTAGTGTGAATGGCAAATAAACAATTTGACAAGTACTTACACCATATCAAATTGATTGTGTCTTTCTCTGAGATGGCTGGATGGCTGGGACAGAAAGCAAAGCCCACTGCAACACACTATGAAAATATTTTCCATACATTCAATCCCAAATGCCTCCAGCAACCCTGGCTTCTGAGGCACAATGGCCTGGAAAAGACACAGGCCCCTAGGGTTGACTCTGGATGTGAAGGATCTCAGAAGCACATTTTTAAAAACTAATAATAAAACTAACTGCATAAGATTTACAGAAACAATGACAGATGGCCTCATATGTTCAGCCAGAGGCCAGGAACACTTGTCTGCCTTCACTTCTGTAAATACAGGCATCAGGCTTATAGAATAGTTGGATATTTTAGAAAGAGATTCTCCCTTGCCCTTGTCCCCATATATAAAGTGGTGCTACCAAATTTCAGTCCAAAGACTGTGTGACTTAAGTCATCTTTCTCCCAAGAACCACCATCTAACGCTTCTTCAGGCTCTGTCGCTGCCACCTCATGGGACTTGGACTAGCCTTCACTAGGCTACAGAATGGTAACAAAAAAATGTCAGGAATCAAAAATAAAGAAATGCGCAAGAAAGGATCCAACACAGGAAGTCATGGACAATGAGCCCGGGAAGAAAATAGGTGGTAGGATCAGGTTAAATAGCATCACAGCTGTGCCCTAGGAAGAAGAAAAAATAGGCACTTTTCAGGGAAATGTTTGATTCCTACTGTTAAGAGCAGTGTTTTAAACCTTACCATCGGAATTTTTGTAATATCTAGGCCGAAAGAAGAAAATAATATCTGAACCTGGCTTTAGTAGTGTTGGTCAAGTTTCTCTTCTGAAATGTTATCCTTTTATCACTCCCCTTTTTATCCTGCCACTTGTAAAAGAAGCCTTGACTGGGAAAATAGCTTTACCTCTCTGGGAAGAGAGAGAGAGAGAGAGAGAGAGAGAGAGAGAGAGAGAG